TTAAAAAAAAAAACCCCACCCACAGGGAAAAAACCCTAAACCAGACAACCTGAACCCTATTCTGACAAAATCTTGAGGGAGCTCAGTCTGTGGTACAAAACCCCCCCCCCCAGCCACTTTCTTTGCTCCTAGGCCTGTTGTGCATCGAGACACTGCTGTGTTTAAGAACATATTCCCACTGCCTTTTTATAAGGGTATTTCTGGTATATAGGAAAATTTTGGTTCGAGTCTCTTGAGAACTGAGTTCAGAAATGGAAGTGGTTGTCCTGTTGCGTGGTTTTTGTTGTTGATTTTGTGGGGAAAGGTATCTGCGCTTACTGTAGATGTTAAAATTTCAGTTACGCTTCTCTCTCCCAGGATTTTGAGGAAGGATGTTTTCTACTCACAAAATGTGATGCCATTCAAACAAGTCAACAGGAAATCTACCCTACTGACAAAGGAAGTGTTATAGTATCTTTCTTGTCAGCCATGTTCAGACCTTTTGTGGAAGGTTATCAGGTATGTTGTTCTTCAGAAAATTATCTTTTTTCTCCTGTGCTTTGTAGGGAAACTAGGAGAGCTGTGATACTTCTGCAGTATAAATAGTGACTGTTTTCATGGCTGGGAAGTGCAAGAGTTGAGAAATAGCGGTAATAAATATCTTAAACACCACCCTCTCCCCAGCGTCCTGATTTCAGCTTTTGGCTCAGACTTTTCCAATTGACTAAAGCACTAACTACCTTGTAATGTGACGGCCTGTTGTAGGTTTATAAGCTTCACAGGGAGTGTGCTGGTACCAGGTTCATTGCTCTTTCTTACAAGGAGCTCTTGCTTAATTCATTTTACGTGGGTTGTTCTGCCAGGTGCAGAAATGAGTATGCATCTCATATCTGATAGCTTTTTTGGGAGTCATTAACTGCATCCATATCTCTTTAAATTCTTTTGGTTTTTCAAGGTTCTAATAAGACTAAACACTTACATTCCTGTAACAAGCAATGTATACAAAAACAGGAGGCTAAAATCTCAGGTATGTCAGCATAAGATTGGTGGGGCTGTAGACGTTTGAACCTAGTGGAATCTGTTAATGATCTGGTCTATGACTTGGGCTGAACTGTACTGATTTGCCCAGTTTTTCCCATCTGTAAAACAGGTATCGCTTTAAAAAAATTATACTGTTTTTGATTGTGAGAACAGGACTGTTAAATTAATGTCTAAGGTAACTATTATAGTAATACTGAATCTTATTTTAATATTAGGATTCTCACGCCTGTTAAACAGTGATAAAAACTTCAGATGCTCTATGTAACGATATCTTTTGAGTTCCTCTCCTGCGCTTTTCAAAGTGTAACAGTATTACTTATGAGGACACATCTGTTTATAATCCATAACAATCAAAAGGAAAGAAGCGCTAATTTTTTTTTTAAATGTTAGTTAATTTTCAGATACCTCTTAAAGGAAACAAAAGAAGCCTTTACCGAGAAGCAGTTTATACCTGGAGTCCGCAACTTTGTTTTTCAACTTCTTGAGTAGGGTGTGTACAGCCATTATGCAATACGATTTTACAAGTGTAGCCTGTTAATGGACAGTGATAAAACTTTTAATTGTGTTTCTGCTTTCTCTGTAGGGAGTACACAGTGTTATGAAGCGCTGTCTTCTGACATGCAGAAAAATGCCTTAGCAGCTCTTGTGCAACTAGGTGCAGTGAAGAAGAAGAAAATGTAAGTAACATCGGCTTTTTGGTGTATAGAAGTCAGCGTGTGGTCTTACTGGCAATTCCTAATGACTGAGCTATTAGTATTAAGCAGAACAGCAGAACCCCAACTGCCTGAGCACCAGTCAACTGAAGGTTGATTGGATTTACCTGAGTCATGGTGAAGACCCAGGTAGTTCCTTTCTGTACACATTGTAGAAGCAGAATGGCACCCCCCCATAGTGAAAACACTCCTGTGGGACCCAGCAACAAAATTCATTAGCTCGCTAGTAGGCTGCTTCTGACACCCTTTACCTTTTGGTTTTCAAAGTTTCTCCCAAGGCTTTGATAAGCGAAGAGAACAGTCCTGCTTATTTTTAATAGAAGAGTTACTCTATGTGTTCCAGTAAGCCTCATCAGGCAATGTAAGCAATAATCAGGAATACTACTAATTTGGGGGGGGGGTTCAGCACTAACATCTCAAAGCGATGTAACTGAAAGCTCAGTCATTAAAGTCTTTTAACACGGTTCATGGTTTATAAGCCTAAGATTAAAAACCAGCTATTGTTATACAAAAATACAGTGACATGCATTTCCTGTCATCAGATTAATTTGTGTGTGGTGCTTCTTACTGTATTTAAAAGTATAAACATGGAAGTCCCTGATACAAGTCCCCACATTGTCTTGAGTGTTTCACGGAACGTAGTTGGCAGCTGATGACCCTGAGCTATTTTCTTATGCCTCTGTTTAGGAAACGAATTGGTCAAGGTTTGTAGTGCTCTTGGAAAGTGCACAAAGTACTGTTTTGTTACGTCCCCTGCCATGTCACTGTGCTAAATAGATGTCTATAGCTAAATTCCCCTTTCAAGTAAAAGGAGTAAATCAATTGAGTGCAACAGAATTTGACATCAGCTGAAGATGTAGTTCAGTTTGAGAGAGATAGTCTTGAAAATTATCTGATTGAAAACAAACAAACGTTCTCTTCCTGCAGTTGGCCCTAATAAAAATCAAGGAAAGAGAGAGACATGGGGACTGTGAACAAGAGGAAGGATAAAGAAACCGTAGCTGTCCTTGAGTACAATCTGCTTAGAAGTCTGCCATGTCCTTAAAATTAATATGTATGCTGGTAGGATGAAAAATATGATGTAATTATGAAAATGTTTCATAATTCAGATTATTTGTATAGAAATGACTGGAATAAGAAATATTCACTGAAGAAACAGGGTTTTTTTTTCTTTTAACTGTAGGTCCAATGGATTCACTTACAGTGTAAATCAAGAGGCTGTTAATAAAATCCTGGACATGTTTGGTAAGTGTTCTTTAATTAATTTGAAGAGAGCTTCTCAAGTTAAAAATTACTTTGGACAATGCACATGTTAGATGTAGTGTTTTTTCCCTAGTAGTTCCTTAGATTCATCTGTATGAAAATCCTAATGATATTTTTTTTTTACAATACTTTTTCTGGTGTCGACTGCAGCTTTGAATCTCCCTTCTTTATTTGAAATACTGTGCTGCAACCCAGTGACCAAGGAAAATAAAGCAAAAAGTAGTTTAATGGAGTGGTATTTACAGCATTTTGATGATGTGTTTACTTTTTCCCCCCCGTTAGACGCTAGGATACCTGTACAGAAACCTGTGGCTGCACGACTGTAAGTGGTTCCTGATGCTGTGACTGGATGTAAGCGCCTGCTGAGAACACCGACCACCGCCCAGCCGGAGCAGGGATGGGAGCGGGCCAGGTTCCCCTCTTGCCCAGCCAGCCTGCGCGCGGGGGAGGCGGAGAGGTGTTCTTCAGCGGGGCAGCTCTCCGTTACCACTTAGGAACCGTTGCCGCCGAGGGTTGGAGTTGTATTTGTATCCTCACTGTGTTTTGTTTTTTAAAACAGATTAAACATTGTCTTTTTTTTTTTTTCTTTTTGGAAAAATATTTAAAGAGATGTGCACAGTAATGGCTACTTAAATACATTTTTCTAGACTTGTAACAAGGAATGTGATTGGTTTCAAATATTTCATGGATGTGAAAATGTAACCGGGAATTAAAATACTCGCTGTTAAAATTAATATTTAGAAAAATACGTTGCTGGCTGACTAAATGTAAGATAAAGCCCTTATGAAAAGAGCACACAAATCAAATCTTGGGCAATAACCAGAAATGCTAATTGTGTCGGGTTTTGTTTTGGGGGTTTATTTTGTTTTGGTTTTTAGGCAACTTGGCATTATTTTAATTACTTCAAGAATGTTATATTTAAAAATTGAATTAAAGGAGCGTCCTTACCGCGTCTGTTCTCTCCTCCCCCCCGCCCCCTCCCCTCCCCGATGCCTGCGGTGTCCGTTCAGGCGGCAGAGCTCAGCC